GAGCAAGAATAATTGGATTGCATTTTGCAAAAAGGAACCACTAGCATTGCAATGATGCTAAGATTGTGCAACTTCATCTTTTGCAATAAAATTGCGGAACTCGTGAAAACTATGAAATTTAGATGGTAATTTTTGTCTTTTTACAGTTTTTAGCGAGTAAAATAGAAACTATTAATGGATAATCGGTTTTTTCCTCCAAGACAAAAGAAGTTGCACAATCTTAGCAACATTGCAATGCTAGTGGTTCCTTTTTGCAAAATGCAATCCAATTGATAATACCAAACGGCAAACGGCAACCGGGAAAATCTCGTCTAAAAAAATAATTGATTTAGCCCACGGGAACCACTTTGTACAATTTCCTCGATCTTTGAATTATTGATCACGCAATGTGAAGTCAAGGACTCAGTTCTCGTAAACTGACCAAAACGCAGCAGAGTAGAGTTACCTTTCTCCAAGTCCTGGCATCTATTTTGTTTACAAGATTGGTTACGCCGAATTTTATTAAAAAAAGGTGTAGGATTATTCGGTCGTGAAAATGTCTCCAAAGCCTTAAAGTTTTGAGAAATATTTGTATGTCGCGATTAAGAAGGCTGGCGCGTTCCTGATTGATTGTAAATATTTCTGCTATCTTGATTGGGGATAAAATGTTGGAGATGGAAGATTATCCGCTGTGGCAAAGCGTGAATGATCGATTATCGATGTTTCCCCATTTGAAGCTATGGAAAAGAATGGATTATTAAGGTGTTCGTTTCGAATACTCTATTTATCGATCGTTTTCTATAACTTTATATAGCAAATCAATTGATATATCGTAAAGCATGCCACGCCACTGATTACCTATCCGGTACAGTACTTTGTATATTTTTATATCCGCCATTGTAAATATTTACAAATAAGAAACAGCAATGTTTGTAAAACAATGTTTCCTCTTCCTTTCAGAGGATTTCGCGGCGAACTTTCAATCCGACCAAATTATGCCCAAATACGGTACCTACAGTAAGAAAGTTGCGTTGTAGAACCAAAAAATACGGAAATAAATTAACACATTTCAAACAATCCAAAGACTTTTTTATGAATAAGATTTTAGTTTGCACATTTGAAAAATGGAAGCTTCGTGCCTCAGGTTACATCATACTCGCAATATTCGACATTCCTCGCGTACATCATGGTGATTAAGAGAACATTACGGTCCTTTTTATTTTTGTCTGTCGGAATTTGAGTTATAACCTTTTCTTTTTGCCTCCTTTTCATCCAAAAAACTCAAATTTGCAAAGAGGCTGCTGTGAGTGGATCGATATCCAACGGCTACCTTTTTGAAGGTACCTTTTTTTATTCATAAGGTTAATTTTAGCCGCGAAAGTTCCTTTGCTGTGATGCAGTCACGATAAATCGTTTTGCTGGATTGCTGGGCAAATATGACATTAAGTGATGATCCGTTTTGGGCACGTTTCTTAAAAAGTTTGATCCCGAATCTCAAATTTTAGATAGAAAAATCATGTTAAAAAATGTAAAAATTAAGCAATCGGGCAATTTAACCATTCTGGTACATGTATTCATATTTCGAACCGTGCGAAAAAAAATTTCTAGCATTTTATAACATTCTCTCTGTCCCTTTTCCCATCTAGTTTTACTCTGTCGTGCTAAGGAAAAACGTCATGTGATCATTCGAATGTTGCCAAGTTTTCTCTCGGAAAATATTAATTTTTGAAGAGAGTGATGAATATTTTCCCTTCAAATTTACAGATTTATTAGATTGAAGTACGAACAAAATTCTCTGACAAATTGAAGGAAAGATACTTGCAAATTTTCCCGAATATTTTTGCATTGCCAAGGAAAATTTGGCAGCAGGTGAAGGTTCTAACGGTGTTTTTTCTTAGCATGGCAGTACTATGGTTAGAAAAATGAAACTTGGCATTTCAGTCAGCCTCGGAGCATTTCAACTGAATGAGGAATTTTTGCTTTTGAGGCTTGAGTGGGACTCTAGTGTCACTAAAAGTATTAGCAACGTTTTTCCTCGCGTGGATGGAAGCTGAGCCTTTTTTCTTGTGTCTGAGCCCATTTTTACGCTGGTTACATAGTCCTCGCTTTGAACTCGTCCCGCGAAATTCCGGCCGACATTTTTCGCATTTACTCTCCAGCTTCTTGCTAACTTTCTCAAGACGGCTCAAATGAGTCCAATTTCATTCGTAGCTCTTAGATTTTTATTTCACGTCGTCAGTCTTTGTTAGTCTTCAAAACGAATCAAGTATTATCATAATCCATAATGTATGTTTTCTTCTTCATGGTTAGGTACGTCAAGTGGTCGATTCACATAAGTTTTTGGGGTGAAAATTTTAAATCGATACTTTCTATGAGAGAAAACTCAACAGAGGAATTAGCCGTGCTAAACAGAACTATTTTGATTTTTACAATTTTATAAATATAGAAATTGGTAAATTCTTTGATTAACGAGCGCCATATTATTAACCCCATAAGCCTGCAAAAATTGTTGATCTAATCGCCATACTGTAAAATCTTGACATAGAAAAATATAATAGGCCAAAGTTAATGGAATTACTTTAATCAATGTAGATAAGGCGTAAAGTGGCCCAATTATGGTTAGGTAGGTACTGAGATTTGGAACCAAACAAAAATTGAAAGGAAAAAGACCTATTTTAATTATTAGTCCGCAGTAATTAATATCAATCCGCAAGGTCCTGAAAAACGCCCCATGAACTTTCCCACATTGCCAAATTTTCCCCAACTAGAGGTTTCTTTTTGGGAGAAGTAGTGAGTTTTGATAAAATATAGATTGTTTCATAAAAAAAAGAAGTGCACTGTAAGAATTTGTAACATTCTTATTGGTTCTACAACAATGAGGAATTTGCACGAAAATGTTTTATTTTTGCATCTAAGAGTGCTTAATGAGCTGCGTTCGCAGTATTTTTCATAATCGGTTTTTGCTTTGGGAAATAGTGTACAAATAGATTTGAAAGTAGGAAAGTCTGCCGCTTTTATTGTGTTGACATATCAGGTGACATTACTCATTTAAACACATGTATTTTAGCAGATCAAGAACTTGGGTCATATCTCCGCTGATAATTGTTCATTTTAGAAAAAACTAATAATATTCTCGTGCTCAGTTCACTTAGTAGTTTCTTCTTAATCATGGTCATCACACAAGTTATTTCAGAAACCTGCAATTTCTAATTTTTGTCTCGGGGCATACCTTAGGCTTTATCGATCGAGGGAATCAGTTGCATTAAGACAAAATTCAGGATAAGATAAACTTCCTTTAAAAATTGATCGATGGAGTATATGGAATCTCGAGGCAAATCGGAATGAAAAAGTAAAAGTTAAGTACATGTTTGTTTGTGGGAAGGACGTGCAACGTGCATGCAGGTCTTGCAGGCGTGAAAATCTAGCGGCTCCGAACAGCCCTTGAGTACCAGCCGGCAAGGATACGCACAAACCTTAAGTATACGTCGCGCACGCAATAGTTTACTCTTGTGTGCAGGCTTGCAACCATCTATTATTTAGAGATTGCTTTGCTCCTGCTACGGGATATCCCCGCCTAGATATCTTGAGCACCCGAAACTCTCATTGCCAGATCTCGAAGCTATTTCTGATGGTAAATCTAAGTAACTTATAGAGACAAAAACCACCGCTATGTTACACTACTGCACGACCGTTAGGTACCTTTGAGGATTGCTAATTATGTAAATCCATCAAAGTATGTGGAAATGTGCTTTTACAAGCAGCGACATGACTGCTGACTAATATGAAATTAAATTTGTGAAGATTCATCGCAAATTTATATAGTAAGTTAGAGAAATTGACAATGAATTCAGTTAATGTGGCAAAAAAAAGATATCCCCGATTTCCCTTATACATCATGTCGATAACTAGCATTTAACTTTCGATCAAATCGTTCGGATCCCGAACTGTTCCTCCAAACATTGGATTTTTAAATTGCAAGTATCAAAATGTAACTGTACTCAATTTTACAGTATTTAGGTAATCGGACCCCCTAAATTTCAACCTTGAGGTTTCCAAAAATAGAGGCGATTGCCCTAAAAAGAACCATATACACAAATAAATTAAATCAAAATTATAATAATGTACATATAAATTGTGTGCTCCATAATTCCTGTTAAAGTGAGTCATTCGTGATCAGTTCAATCTATTAGCATAATGTGTACAAATAATCTTATCTCACCTGAAAAGTATCATAGACTATCGAGTTGATCTTAATTTTTCAGCTTCATTGCTTGGTGCAAAATGAATTCGAAGTTCAGCAATTACATGCAAGGTCCAGAAATGAACTTCAAACCAGAACAAAGCGGGCAAAGGAACTTAAGTGCCCAAATAATTCACACAAAGGAAATCATGAAGCGAGTTAACTGAAATTAATTCATTTACCCTTTTTTCAAGTATGTCATTGACTGCTTTATCGGTCGGTAATGTCTCTTGCAATTCAAAGAGAAAAAAATTGTCCATATCTGCTGGCAAAAGCATTGCGCGCACTCGCAGTTTAAGGGAGATACTGCTGGCAGGTCTATCGTCCTTGTCATGCGCAAAGTACCTATTGACATCGCGAATTTACGTGCGCGATAATTTTCAACACCATCGTTTCATGGGTCAAAGACGATTCTCCGCTGGCCAAAACTCTTCGGCGGCGGAGCACATGGATAATTATAAAGTAGTGCCTGAGCTACGTGCTACGTGAGTATCTTGGTTGCCTCTCGGAAACATGTACACGCCAAGGTTTTCAAAGTCGAGAGAAGTCCTGAGCCATGGAAATAATTGTAAATTGGACGGTACCGAGCAAAGGTGATCCAACCGCATTGCGATGTCTTCTCAACTGGTATCTTAAGAAGTATCTTAGTGTCTTAAGAAGATGAAATACAGTAACTCCTTACATCTGCGTGATATTGTTGCGATTATTTTAAATTTTGGAATGCTTAACAATTCAATGATTATACGTGTAGTAAAAAAATATTGGTTGTGTTCTGTTTCAGGTTAAAATATGGTTTCAAAATAGGAGAAGTAAATACAAGAAAATGATGAAAGCTGCTCAGCAAGGGTCGACGCCAAACAGTGTTCCTTCGAGTATATCGGATCGTGGTTTTGGAGGTGGAGGTGGCACGCCTCATACCCCGGGCATGCCCGGTAGCCCGCAGCCCCCCGGCGGAATGTTGGGAGGTAAGAATTCTAAAGTCAATAATATATAAGCTATAACGTGTAATTAATGAAATTAGCCCTGTAGCTGTGTATGCGAAAGTATAGCGCATGGTCCAGCTATGAAATTGTATAATTTAATTCCCCTCCCTCCTCAGAAAATTTGGACCTCGAAATTATAATCCTGACTTTTTTGCCGTACCCATTGCGAAGAAGAGAAGAGAAGAGAAAAATCTATTGAAATCACAAACATAAAAAGAAATGATGTATCGAGGGGGACAATCAGATCTATCGAGGAGGGCCTTTTTTGAGCCCATCCTGAGTATCCTCAACTCTACGACTTTTTGCTCATTGAGGGTATATATTTTGCGAAATGCGTCGTGATTTGATTTTTTCGGATTTTCGGTATTATTTCTGGTCTAGTTTTGGTCTCAGCATGAGCCTGACGGTCGATTTTCGCAAGAAATGCGGGTTTTGCGAGTTAGCGGTCGAATGCCGAGAAATTCTCATTCTTCGTCAAAATCGACCCTCAGACGTATGTCTAGGCCAGCATCGAACCCGAAAAAAGATCGAGACATGATGCGTTCCGTAAAACGTGGACCTCCCATGAGAAAAAAAATCATTGAGTTAAGCAAGGGTGAGCCGAAAAACGACCCGGATCGATACCTCTCCTTCGCGTCGTGGTTGTCTGAAAATGCATCTAAAATGAATGAGAGGCTTGGAGGAAAAGGCGCATAGTGCAATTTTTGCTATTTCCAGAAATCCACGTTTGAAATTTCGAAATTGCATGGACTTTTATGGCGGGTAGAAAGTTTAAACTGACTTTTGATGCTTAAAACTTGGAATTTTGGAGCAAGTTTTTCACAGAATATGCATTAAGACTAGTTTCACTTGAGATAATTAATATTTCAATTTTTTTCAAAAATTGCACTTATGCGCCTTGTCCTCCAAGCCCGTCAAATATAGTCAATTTTTCAAAATTTCCCGGGGGCAGTCACCTTCATATACGGGGGGTGTTTTCTATATTCCCTCGATGAGCTAGGATTGGGAATCATTTTTTTTCGAAGGGGCAAGCTCCCTAAAAAACGATCTTGCTACTCCTTTGTGTCTGTGGCACCTTTAAGGCTCTAGATTTTGAATGAAGTTCGTACTGGTTTCAAAGGAGTCTCAAAGAAGTTCTAGTCGCAACCAATACTCCCTTTTCGTTGCTCATTTTTTTCTCGCATGAGAACCAAAACGCTATAATTCGCATGCGATGATCATGCAAGTTCATGAACGATAACTCAACATATGCCCCAGATAATACGGGGTAGCCAATCGATTACTGTTTAATGGTTACTGTTGGTATTCTCGCCACACCTTTTGAGGCAAGGTTTTTCGCGTTCCTTGAGAAAAATTACCATGTTTGCTTGGGAATTGATAACGAGGATGCGGTGATGAAGGTTTCCTTTACAGATTCAGATGATTCAGTATTGAAATATTTCCTTACCACTCGATACATCAGTAATATCACTGAGGTTACATCACGAATACTGCTGTGTCCATGAATTGTCGTCTGAGGTGTCCGTTTCCTCTTTTTGCCTCTCTTTTTGTCATTTCCCTGACGAAAGAGCGTAACTTAATTTACACCCCTATAAATCTGTTGCCTCAAATTTCAATTTTTTTCGGCAAAATAATAGCTCTAGTTAGGCTCTACCAATGCAAAAAAATCGGTCAAAATATTTTGCAACGTAAGAAAGATTCAACTACTCAAAAATCTACAAATCTTTAAAAGGCGGAAATATATACGTACACACATACATACATATGTATATAAATTCACTAGTTAACTGTATACATATATATACACATGAACTTGAATGGCATATATTTTCGTGATCTACGCCCGTGATCGGTGCTCCTCACAAGGTCTCAGGGCTGGGTCCGACATAATGGGAGAATGCAATAGCGTATTTTCTTCGAAAAATACATTCAAAATATTTAAGGCTTATTTTAGAGACTCCTCTTTTAATATTTCCATGCTGGCAAGTGCCTCGCATTCTTCTCCATTTTTTCTTCATCTCCTTACTTTTCCTCTTCTTCTTGTCTTTTCTCGTTTCCCCCTCTCTCTTCACTTCCTCTCTGTTACCCTTTTTCTCTGTATTTCTCTTTTACAGGGTTTCTCCTCTTCTTCCACTCCTTTTTTTCTTTCTTTCCATTTTTCATCCTCTTTTCTCCTTTCTTTTTCATTTTTGTAATATTTTTCCTATTCCTCTTATTTTTTGAAATTTTCTCTTAATGTTTTGTAAAATTCTTCTTCTTCCTCCTCTTCTTCAGCATTTTTTTACTTTCGCTTCTTTTATCTCTCCTCCTTCTACTCCTAGTTCTCCCTCCTTCTCCTCCACCTCAATTTGTTGCCCCTTTGACATCATGGCGTACCTGAATCTCCTAGTAAGCTCTGTTCTCCGTATAACTTCATTCTTTGCGGGGCTCATGTGGAAATAGGGATCCGTGGCTCGGACTGCTTTGCGATATATCGATTGATCTGCCATTTAGGCCTATTAAAGAGGATCGATAAACAGGGTGTTCGCAACAAACACTTTAACTATCGATTCTTTGCCATAGCTTTAAAAAGGGAAACATCGATAATTCATTATTCACACCTCGTCTTTGATAGGTATACGCCCTTACCGCAGAAGCTTGACGAAATTTCCCGAACAGATATGGGTAGGTGCTTTTACAGATGAGCCAAAAGTGAAAAAGTTCCTCAATGCGGAATGTAGTCTAACTCCCTTTTCTTGAGGTATCACGTTCGTTTTCTCCTTAAATTTTTGAGGTGTGATGAAATGACGTAACGGATTCGATTTGATTTGTTTCAGGGAACGGATCTTCCTCAGGTAGCCAACCTAGTCCTTCAGGAGGCTATATGCAGTCTCACGGGGGGCATCAGAGTCCCACAACCCCTAGTTCAACTCCGGTCGGAGATATGTCACCTCAACCTCATGGAATGTCCGGGTCGCCGCCCGTAGCCTCGTGGGATATCAAACCTAATATAGGTCAATCCACGCACCATCATCCTAATAGTTATATGCCTCAATACGGGTGGTATCAGCCGGACGCTAATCAACCTTTATTAACGTAAGTATACACATGTGATATCTTCATGTTCATCTCTGAATTGACAGGTGTGGATCGTTTGAATATACGCTGCACTTACCTCCAAGTTGAAAAAGCCATCATTTCGCTCACTTTTCAGGGTCTTTTGGCAAGATCAGCGGTTCCAGAACCACAGCCTGCGGATTCTTAAGGAACAAAAATGGAGACAGTAGTGGGAAAACGAATAAATGATCAACATTGAGAGGCAGATTAAAAAAGGGAATATTGCAAAAGAAAAATAACACAATTTTAAAATCGAATGACGATTGAGTAGGAATTTTCATTCCTAACGAATTTGCTCGCATCGATTTTGTTCATTTTAATCAACAGCGGACGCTCATAATTGGACTACATTTTGCAATAGGAACTAAAATTTTAGGCTCATACGTGAAACCATACGTTTCTCGAGGGTGAACCCAACTCAAGGAACATTAATAATACATGCGTTGTCTTTAAACTGAGCCAGAAATTGTAATTCCTAATTCCAAAATGAGGTCCATTCAAGGGACTTGGAGTACAAGGCGCATAAAAGCAGTTTTTGAAAAAATTGAGGTATTCATGAACACAACTAAAACTAGTTTAAAAGTATATATATTCTGTGAAACATTTACGACTACAATCAAACTTCAAAGCATCAAAAAGTGAGTTTAAACTGCCTTTCTGACTCAAGGCTCCTTGTAATTTTGAAAATTTAGACACATATTTCTTGAAATAGCAAAAACTGCACTCATGCGCTTTGTCCTCCAAGCCCTTCATTTTTCGTTTCCGGTCAAAACTGCGAATTCGTCGAAAATCAAACCTCGCGCAATAGTTTCCAGGGCGGGAGGAAAGAGCTGTTTTTCGGCCGCAAAAAGTCGGCAAGAGCATACAGATCTACGTTTCACTTACCTTGATCGATGTCAACTTTTTCCTCGCCTTGAACGCTTACCGCAAGATTCGGAGGGCCTTGCGGTTGAAGAATTTCGGGACATCTGAGACTTCTCATCGCCGCTGCTCACAGGGCGTTCCAAAGATGAAGGAGCTTTCAAAGGGGCGCCGGGGGAAGGGGGGGATGTTGTGCAAGGGTCTGAGGTACTCGACGCCGGCCGCGCGCCGCGACGACTTGGGGTCGGTCTCTGCGACCGCTCGCTCGCTCGGTTGCGCCGCACGTCGCTGCCGCAGTCGCTACTGGTCTACGTTGCGCTGATCCGTGCGTTTACCTTGAACTAATTTCATTCAAAATAACGCTCCTAAGCACCCGACTCTGATGCAATCCTCAATTCCTCGAGTGAAAGGTAAACGATTCGCTCTTACTCCAGAGGATATCGGCCCCGAGAAACACAGAAAACTCCCAACGACTGTGCTTTCGAGTCCAAAACGCACCTGAGGGATTTTTCAAACGCTTGAATCAAATTTGTTTTCTCTTTTAGCGTCTATTGCCTGTTAAAAATTGAGGGGTGAAATTCGCTGCCGGCGCCCAATAACCGCGAGTAATACGATAATGTGCATAGTGACATTAGCGTATGACGCGCCGAAAAAAGAGTAGATTCCGGTAGTTATAGAGTAAGTCATTCCTTAAGGAGAATAGAATTCGAATTTTCGGAAGTAGAAGGCTCTCCTGCTTTTCTCACTCCTTCTAAGATGCACGGGAGTTGTCAGTTGCAGCACCCAAATTACAGATACCTCAGCCTACGAAGACTTTATGGATTTGGCTGTGGCGCCTTGATGCAACTATCCGTGATCCACGGATGTGCGTGTTGTATGTTTAAAATTTGAAGGCGTTTCCTTTTGTCTCTTCTTCTTGGCCGACTGCCCACTCAGTCCACGAACTATAGTTTGTTTCACGTAAGCTGATACTTTTTATTCGGCATTAAAATCCGTAAATGGCAACGCATCAGTCCCGAACGCGGTGACCTGACCGCTCGCCGGCCACCCTCTTTTGTTCAGCGACGAGAGGCCGGCAACCCGTCCATTGTGAGGGTAGGAACAATGGGCACCCTTCATCCCTCCTTAATGAGCCCTAGTACCCGGACCCAATTTTCTTTCTCGTTGAAAAATTAAACTTTTAGCGTGAAAATTCAGGTCCAGCGGGAAATTTTGATGAAAATGAACTAAAATTTCATCCGATTATCTTAATTTT